GAGGACTCAAGATCAGTTTCCATCAGCCACATACGGCATCTTACAACTGCCTGTAACTCCAGCTCCAGGAGATCACGACAGGCGCCTGCACACACCCACACCGTGACACACACATACACATAATGAAAAATATTTTTGAGACATTTCACTGGGCAGCCCTGGCTATTCTGGAACTCACTGTGCAGCCCAGGCTGGCCTTAAATTCACCGAGATCCACCTGCCTCTGCCTCCTGAGTGCTAGGAGAACAACCCAAAGAAAACAATGACTGAAGAATGCCAGGGAAGGCTTTTCAACCAGAAAAAAACAAACTAAAGGGGGTCAGGGGAGACATCAACCATTCTGGTCCTGGCTACCCCATCCACGCTCACCTCACTCCTTGGGCCTTATGAACATGCCACTCTTCCTTCCTCTACCCGTCCATAATAAGGTCTGCCACAGAGCAACCAGACACCAGCTACCCTCTGAAGGAGAAACTAACCTAATGCCCACTGATTTCTAGCTTCACCATGAGCAGGGAAGACTCCTGAATAGCTATACAGTGTGTTTCTTCATAGACCATGAACTCTCCCTCACCGAAGTCAGGCTTCCCTCACACTCAGGCTGCGTTCTAGAAATGATTTCCTCCAGCAGTTGAAGACTTGAACTGCAGGGACACTACGGACAAACCCCTGCTCCCGAAGGACCACACCTGTCATGGGCCCTGGCAACCATATTTGTGACATATGATTCGAAATGCTTCCAGCACCCCAAACCAGGGCTCACAGGGCCCCAAAGCTAGCTAAGGTGAAGTCAACCCGGCTTTATCTAGGGCAATGGAAACTCGGATTCTAGGCTGGTGTTCAAGCTGCCATCCATCGTGACCTAAAGCCTGAAGCAGCCGCTGGAAGGATTCATCTTGCGCCGTGTGTGTGGAACAGCAGCAAACGCTGGACTAGAAGGAGAGAGGAAGAAATAGAGAACACAAAGCAAAGGGGCAGAGAGAAAGGCCCTAGAACTCAGAGAGCTAGCACCCGCTGGATATGAAGGCTCCATGTTCTCAGCCCCGGTCCTCTGAGACTCCTGATTGCATTTCCTGCGCTTGTGGCCTGAGAGATATCTGATCGGCACAGCACCTCACTCCATTTTTGCTTCGAGTCACTTCCAACCAGGATAAATCTATTAAGTAACAGGCATTCTGGACACCACCAGAAGGCTGGGCCCAGCAGCTGCTCCACAACGGGGAGCAAGCCCACCACTGCGCCCACACTCTCTCTTGTTCATCAGCTTCCGGCTGTTGCGTCAGTCCTCTGTGTTGTCCGGGAAGGACTGACCTGTCTGCGCACAATACAACCCTGTCACCCCACTGTCCACAGATGCCCTGGTCCGGGTCCTAATAACCGGCCTAGCAATGCTTTCCTAAAAGCAATACTGGAAAAACTAACGCAGCACTTCATTCCTTCAAACGCACTCGACTGACCCTCTTCAATAGTGTGTGTGCGTGTGCGTGTGCGTGCGTGCGTGCGTGCGTGCGTGCGTGCGTGCGTGCGTGTGTGTGTGTGTGTGTGTTTTATAGCTTGAGACATAGCTAACTATAAATTAGACTCTCCTACAATTCACCTGTATTTGTGAGTGTAAGCTGGCTCACAGGAGTCCTGCAGAAACCCACAGACACACATGCATATTTGGGGCATCAAACTGGAAAGCCTAATGGTTAAGAACACAGACTGAGTCTGACAAATCTGGAACAAAGTCTTAAACTTCACTCAGAGCCTTTAAACAAGGACAGAGACTGTCTCCCACAGCCTTTGTATTATTATTATTATTTTACACTGGATAAGACCTAAGTGACTTCTCAAAGGCCACAGGCTTAGTAATGCCAATCCTCACTCTGCCCCTGACTGTGAGAGACTCCCGGTCTATTATTTAGGGGCTCCGTTCCTTTAGGATTGAGGCTCAGAAGAGTGAGTAAAATCGGCACGTTAGCACAGGCTGAGCTGAGGGCCGGGCAGCGCAAACAGCTCACTAAAAGGTATTTATTATTGCTAGGGTTCCCAACTCTTGCGTCTTCAGTGAATGCTTCAGGCAAAGGGACATTCGGTTCTATAAAATTACACGTTCTCTGGAAAAGAGCCATTTGCAAGCTCTAGGCGGCCAAAGAAAAAGGAGCAAATTATAAGCAGTATTTATTTTGGATGCGGTCTAGATCTCCAGAAGAGAGTAACCGATAACCCACACTAGCTGGAAAGCAATGACCACACTTGAGGCTAGGGGGCGCCATGCCACACTCATCGGCACAACGGGGACCGCTTTCCCCAGGGGGACCCCAAACCCCATTTGGCTACAACAAAAGAGAAGCAGACAAATTCTAACCAATAACAACTTTGGGGGGAGCGGGGGTCAGGGAAAGGTACCATGTAACAGTTCTACCACGGTTTCAATTTTAGGGCCAGTAAATACTCTTATTTATTCCCAATATCTTTGCAATTCCACTCACATTATTCAATGACCTTTACAAATCCAGTTTTTAAAAAAAAGGTAACGAGGATGTATGCATTCAGAAGCACAATGCATAGAAATTTAAAGTGTATTTAAAAAAAAAAAACAGTGTAAACTAAATGTACAAACTGGCAGTTGCTAAAACCGCCTGGTGGGAGTTCATATTAGCCTATCTACATTTGTATATGTTTGAAATTCCCTCGATCAAAAGTTATAAATAAGTTTAAAATCTGTACCAATTCTCTCTTATGAAAATAAAAAAAAATTCCCCTGCAAGTCTAAGCAGGAAACTAGGTCTATCTATATCAGTACTGTGGGAAGCAGCACAAAATGAGGACACCCAGGGAGGAAAGTCACGTAAGGAAGAAAATAGGCCAAGTGAAAGGAAACGTGCGTGCGGAGGGAGCCCCTATAGACAGGATGTGTCTGACAATGCAGCACTAGCCAACTCGGAGTAAGGGCCGGAGGACTGCCGTCTTTACAGAAGTCAACCAGAGCGTCACAGTTTAAAATAAAACCTACACTGTTTGTTTGTTGAAGCTTGCTGTTTGTTTGTTTGGTGTTTTTCTGTGTTTTGGGGTTTCTCTGGTTTTTGGTTTTGTTTTGTGTCTATGTGTGTTCTAATTAGCAAGGGGATAGTCCAATCTAGAGGTGGACTCTCTAAAGAGTACGAATGAGAGCTTTGTGCCAGGAAGAGCGGAGTGAGCCGTAATCTGGATAAGGACAGATGCCTCTTCAGTGGGTAAGGCAGATTTCTCTTCTCAATGCATAGGCACCTTGTGACGCAGTTAACTGGAAAGTTATTTAGTCCGCCCAGAAGAGAACCTAGGATTGAAAACTCTACAAAGCTTGCTTCCTCACCCTGGGTGACTAGGTGTTTTTCTCATTCCCTTTGAATTAAACTCTAGCTTGGGATTCCCCTGTCATCCATTAAGTCAAAGCTAAATCAGAATATAAATTTTAAAACTCTGCTAGTGACATGACTTATCAATTAATTTCAGTCTCCCTCAGAGGGGGGAACTTATCCCTAAACCACTGAGGGAAAAATTCTTTAACAGCCAAGCTTGTCAGAAACTTTACAGAACTGATAAGGAACCACTTGCCCTTTCAGGCTGAAGCTACAGGTACCTCCCAATACTGAGGCTAACCCCGGGGCTATCCGAAAGGTTATTTAATGCAGAAAGAACTCTGATCAAAACACAGATGACCTTCAAGTCTACCACTGAACTGATGGAAGAAAAAAAACAAACAAACTCTACCATCATGCTCCAGCAGAGTGCAGCTAACTGAACTATTCCCAAATCAAATGAAAATGTAGAATCCGGCACTTTCTTCTAAGCTTCACTTTGGGTCCAAGTGTCCGTGAGGACACTTGTCAGGCAGTCGGCGGACATCCTCCTGACTTGATAGCTCCCCACGCTACTCATCCATCTCAACCCCTCACTTCCAGACATTTCTAGTTGAGTTTATCCCCAGACCAAGCCTACACTGAGAAACCGTACATTTATTATCAAAGAGTGGCACATTCGTGAATGCTCGTGGTCCCTCAGCTGTTGGTAGGCTCTTGTCTCGCTGCACTTAAGAAGTTTTAATGATTCTGAGTCCCTTGACCAGACAGCAGCAACATAAGGGCAAATCACTCTGAATCGCTCCTGGAAGAGGATTTGACTATCGTTAAAGCAAGAAGAGGCCAAGTCAGCCAAGACTAATCCAAAGCAATGTATATATATGCACAGTCTCAGCTTCTCCACCTCCCACTGCCCGGCCTGCCAATCTATACCTGGAAACGTTTCCAAGATAAATCACCACCACCCACTGCACCATTTCCGGCTCTGTGAACAGAAACGAGGTTTCTACCTAGAGGTACTTCACCAACTCTCTCCACGGACCTTATCAGGTAGGTTGAGTGGACTTTGCCATGAGTGTATAGGAAAAGAAACGCAACCGACGTAGGGCTCGGCACCAGGTGAGAATTTTCAGTTGGGTTGATGGGTCTAAGAGAATCCTGGACGCCGGGGGTCAAAGGCTGCACGCAGAAGTGGAGTCTTACCTTTTCACATATCATACTCTTCCTTCCCTCCCTACCGGACTCTGCAAGCCAACTAACACAAGACAAAAATTACACTTGCCTCTAGTAGGGTTAGACCTTCGCTACAGTGAAGGTCAGTACTGTGTGGCTTTAACACGGGCGCTTCGGATCATGGACATGTGGGTCGCAGTGTTGGGAATGTCTTTTCCCTCCACAACCCAGTTGTCCTGCATTCATCACCAAAACCAGGGCATTTCTCTCCGAGTCAGCAGAAGCTCATCATCATGCCACACCTGAGCCCCTTAACGTGGACTTTTGCCTAAGGAGGTGGGCCGGGAGGTGGAGGGGACGCCAGAGAGCAGATAAGGCAAGCTGACTTCTCGGTTAAAAAAACCAAAGTTCGCTGCAGTCCAGCGAAGGAGGCACAACACTCCGGGTGAAGGTTTCCCGTCCCCGGCAGCGGTAGCTGAGGCTGGGCGCCCGCACGCATCCTACCTTGGACCTCTCCTTGACATAGTATTTGCCCAGCCGGCTCCCGCAGTACAGGACCAGCCTGTCGATGAGGGACAGGAGGAAGTTGATGGCCTCGCAGCCCTCCTCATTGCCCCCGATCCACGTGATCTGGTCGCCCCGCAGGTGCCGCTTGGAGACGCCGGCGCGCGGCCCCGCCAGCTGGCCGTCACGTAGGGCCCCGTTGTAGTGCAGCTGCTTGACCCGCTCCAGCACGCAGTCGCCCACCACCTCGCCTAGGAAGTTGTCCAGGTAACAGAAGCCGACCTCGTGCAGACAGGGCACGATGTACTCCAAGGCGATCTTCTCCAGATCCAGCCTCATGATGTGTCCCAGAGGCATCTCGCCTGCAGAGCCGACGCCGGGGACCCCCACGGTGCACGCGCCGAGGGCACAGCCGAGATGCGGAGAGCCGGGCCCGGGGCTCACCCACCTGCGGCGGCGGCCACGGTCCCCGAGCCACTTTAGCGCCAGGGGCGGGGAAAGTTGCTCGCAACTCTGGGGAGAAGGGAGTCCCGCTCTCTAAGACCGGCGGGAGCAGTGTGGGACTCCGCCACCCAGCGCCGGACTGGCCCAGTGAGAAGTCAGAGGGCCCCTTTTGGAGATGCAAAGCCACCGCCGCGGCGGCCGCAGCCGGGGGAGGAACGGGAGGAGGCCCCGCCTTGACCTCAACGTCATGGTCCCGCCCCCGGCACAGCCCTCCTCCGGGCCCTTCCTCCTGGACTGGTGCTGCGGAGCATCCGGGCGAGCTTTATGCTAACCTGTGCGTGACCCAAGACCAGGGCTGGATTTTTTTTTTTTTAAGGCTCTCGATTTGCATATTGTTTTGCATAAAATCCCCTAACAAACTTGAAAACCTGGATCCCACATCTGAGATATACACGAACTTAGCCGCGTAGTTTACAGCCACTTTTCTGGGAGAGGCACCTCTCTGGTGACTATATATTTCTTAATCGTTGGCCTCGCGCTAGCTAGCTTTACCTGGTGACTTCCCGTCCTCCCCGTTCCTCTTCGGTTTGACTCGGGTCGGGCAGTTCCCACCCCTCAGAGAGTGAGATGAATCCAGTTTTAACTGAAACTGATACATTAACAAATGTTCCCCTTGACTCCCTCTGTGTCCCGCCCCCCCCGCCCCCCCCGGGCTAGGCTGGTGTACATGGCTGAGGGGAGGGGAGAGGCATTACGGGAAGGGAGGGGCGTTGCCAAACCCTGCAAATTCTTGCATTTTGCCCTGCAGGAGATGTTCATGCCCCACTTACAACTCAAGCTCCTTACTAAAAGGCTCTGAAAGTCCACCTCAAATCACTTACATGCTCCCCAAAAGAAACACTGTGTTCTAGGTCTCTCTGACTTTTGCCAAAACTAACTAGACTACCAAGGGAGTGCAAGACCCTACCTAAACGACTTTATCTACCAATAAGCCGGTGGCTGTAGATATCTGACGTCCTTTCCTTCCAAATACTAGGGATCAGGAGGAAGGGAGGGAGCCAGCGAGGTGGGAAGGAGGGAGGGAATGAAGTCGGCATGCAAAGCCATTTCCATAGCCATTTCCATTTTCACATCTTTGTACATTTGGATTTTCATTTAAATTGAATGAGAAACTGCACCCGTCTTTTGGGCATCGTTTATTTTGGACATAAAGTCTCTACAGCCTTTTCGCTTTTTTTTTTTTTCCTCTTCCCAATCACCCCTCTCCTCTCTTCTTCCCAGGAGAGAAGTGGGGTCCACGCAGTTCATGCCAAGAAAGAGAAGCAGAAGAAGAAAGGGTGCTCACAGGAGGGACGAAGCCTGAGGCAGGTGAGGGCAAGCAGCCCCCGGGGAGCGGCAGTCCACGGTGGAGGGGCCGGGCAGCTTTGATGAAAGCTAGCTCTAGCTCGCTCCGTGGGGAACAGGGGCCCTGTCAGAGCTCCGTTGGCCTCTTGGATATGTCTGCCCGGGAGCAGGTGTCCATCCTTAGGGAGAAGGTTCAAATTGCCCTGAGCTCAAGAAGTTGTCGACAGAAAGGCCACAGCAGCCCTAGGGCGATAGGGGCCCCTGTCCTTGGAACGATGTTGCCGACACCTGATAGACAGTTGGAAAATAGTTTCTTGAGACCCTGAACCTGGGCCCTGCAACCTCCACTTGGGGTTTGAAACAGGAAGCCAGGAGGAGAGGTCCTTTTGCAAGAGGAACTGGGGAGCCTCTCAGGGCATTCACTGGGACAGAGTATGAGGAACCAGACCTCAGCGGCCACTGGAGGGGGACAGTGAGAACTTCTGCAGGACATTTGTCTCACCAGCTGGCCCTGTCCGGTCCCAAGTAGTAGCAAATAAAGCAAAGGCCGAAGGGTTACTTATCTCCATTGGGAGCAGGATGGAAATGAATTCCAAAGAAGAGGTAGGGACATATCCCCTCTCTTGTCTGAACCCCCATCTCTGTGAGCCACTCTGGGCCCTTTTATGCTCTTCTGCAGGGACACCCTGGGGTAGCCAGGTGGGGCAGGGAGTGCCTTGGGGCTTTTGCAGCTTGGAGCTGGAAGTAGACCCCAGAGTAGATAGCATTGAAGAAGCGTCAGAGTAACAGACAGCTCTTGGAAGCTGGCCAAAATCCTTCTAGCCTGTGGTTCCTTTTAGCTCCAACCCATATGTAGGCAGACTTTTTCTCAGGTCCGCCATCTCCCCAATAACTGACATGGAAAATTTTTTATTAATTAGAAATGCTCAGCCAATAGCTTAGCCTTATTACTAACTAACTCTTACAACTTAAATTAACCTATATTTTTTTTTATCTACACTCTACCATGTGGCAGCACCTTTTTCCAGCATGACATGTTCATCTCCTGCTTCCTCTACGCTTTGCTGGCGACTTTGCCCTCCTTCTTCCCAGCATTCTCTCGGTTTGGCTCTCCTGCCTAGACTGACCAGTCAACTCTTTATGAACAACGAGAACAACACATCTTCCCAGTGTCCAAAAGGATTGTCCCACAGCACCCATATGCCTGGGGCTGATAGAAGGGGATTTTCAAAGGCCTGAAAACCTACAGTCCTTGTGGAGGGGTTGGTTAATAAGACACAGAAAATTATACATCCACATCCTGGGGTGACCTTGTTTGCCTGTAACTTTAAATCCCAGGGCTAAGTCATTTAACTTAGTATTCAAATAATATCTCCATACTTTCATAGCACAGTGGTTTCTAGTGTAGTCACAACTAGAACAATAACTCAGGCAGGTTCAAGCCTGAAGCTGTTCTAGATTACTTTGGTTCCCAAACGTGGGCTGTTAAAGAAGGGAGTCAGCCCTGGAGCACCATCCCGGCTCAACAAGGGCGTTTACTAACCAACCGCAGGCGGGCCAATCAACTCAGGGCTGCCAGCCCCGAGCATAGGAAGGGAGTCTGAGCATAGGAAGGGAGTCTGAGATACCGTAGCTGGTAGAAATCAAAGTTCGTGATTACGTAGAGGGCACAGAGACGCAGGAGCCAAACAAACTCTGAGGCTGAATCTCAGTCAGGCAAAACCCAAGTTACCTTTTAAGTACATTTCCTTCAGACATTTGTCCGTTAACTCGTATCGTTTTAAAAAACCATTGTTATGTTACTCAGCTTTCCATAGCTAGGACAAAGCACCTGAAGCAATCATTTAAAAGGAACAAAGGTGTGTTGGGGTTCAGGGTTTTTGAGGTGTCACCCTCCAGTCTCTAGGGACTGTGGGGGCCTATCGTGTCAGGGAGAGCCAGGACGAGCGACGGAGGCCAGGTTTCCGGGATAGGACACAGGACGCACCCTCAGTCACCTCACTTCTTTCTTCCAGACCACTCTCCTCGAGGCTCTACTGTTTCCCAGTGGCGCTGTGGGCTGCCAATCAAATCCTAACATACGAGCTTACAACAGACATTTCAGAGCCAAACCACAGCAAGCATTGAAACAACTTTTCAAAAAACATAAAACCAACTTTCTTTTTTTTTTTTTTTTATTCTGTTGTGATAAATTTCCCTGACAAAAATCAACACAGAGGAGGAAGGACTTGTTTTAGCTCAGAAGTCACAGTCCATCATTGCAGGGGAGTCGAGGGGGCGGGGATGTAAAGCAGCAAGCAGGTCACGTTACATCCACAGGTAGATGTAGCCATGAGTAAATACACGTGTGCTTCGCCATCTCCGCGCTTTCACATGCAGGATCCCCCCCCCCCCACCCGCCCCCCCCCCCCCCCCCCCCCCGCACAGGGAATGATGCCACCCAGAGTGGGCAGGTCTTTTCCACTCAGTTAATTTAATCAATATAATACCCCCCCCCACAGACTCCTCACAGGCCAACCTGCCTATGTGATTCATCACCGAGGGACTAGAGAGATGGATCAGCGGTTCAGAATAATTGCTTCTCTTCCAGAGGACCAAGATTCTGTTCCCAGGACTGACATGGTGACTCACAACCATCTGTAACTCCAGTTCCCAGGAATCCAACACCCTTTTCTGATCCGTAAGATAACCAGTCACACATGTAGTGCATAGATGTAAATGCAGACAAAACACCCATATATGTAAAATGATAAATAAATGAAATATAGGTGATTCCTCATTGAGATTCCCTTCCCAGGTGATTTTAGATTTTTGTCAAGATAGCAAAACTAGCCATCACACTACTTCAAAGTGAAAACTTGAATGGCATTCAGTACATCCATAGTGTGTTACAACCACCACCTCTCTCTAGTGCAAACACATTTTCACTGCCCCAAAGGAAAATTCTAAACCCCTTAGGCAGTAATTTTCTGCTCCCACCTTTCCCCAGTCCCTGGAAACCACTGATCTGCTTCTGTTCCCATGGATTTACTCACACCAGACATTTCCTGTAGGTGGGTCATACTGTCTGAGACTTCTTCCAACTGGCTCCCTTCATTCCACATAAGGTTGTTTTTCAGGCTCACCCACATTGTATCACGTATCAAGTGCTTCATTTTTTATAGCTGACTAATAATCCATTGTAGATACACCATAATCTGTCTACTTATCAGTTGATGGGTGTCTATTGCTGCAACAAAACACCATGACCAAAAAGCAAGTTGGGGAGGAAAGGATTTATGTGGCTTACACTTCCACATTGCTGTTCATCACTGGAGGAAGTCAGGACAGGAACTCAAGCAGAGCAGGACCTTGGATACAGGAGCTGATGCAGAGGCCCTGGAGGGGTGCTGCTTACTGGCTTGCTTCCCCTGGCTTGCTCAGCCTACTTTCTTGTAGAACTCAGGACCACCAGCCCAGAGATGGCACCACCCACCATGAGTAAGGCCCTCCCCCATCAATTACTAATTAAGAAAATGCCCTACAGCATGATCTTATGAAGACAATTTCTCAATTGAGGTTCCCCTTTTTCAGATGACTCTAGTGTGGGTGTTAAGTTGATACAAGACAAGCCAGTACAATGGGTATTAGGTTCTTCCCATCCTTGAATCACTGTTCGTAGTACTGTTGTGAACACACGCGCCTAAGAATTTGAGTATCCATTTTCAATTTGGGCGGTGAGGGTATGTACCTAGGAGTGAAATGTTGGAGTCACATTTCGAAGAGCCACCAAACTATTTTTGACAACAGCTTACCATTCTGCATTTGCATTCCCACCACTAATATGGAAGGGCTCTATCAATTTTTTTTTTTCAAGGAAGGGTCTCACTTTGTACCCCTGGCTGGTCTGGAACTCATTAGAAGACC